TTTGATTGCAGATTTTAAGACTCCTTACTATGCTTGTTATATGTGTGAAATTTGGTAGAATTCGGTCCAGTAATAAGCGAGATAGCCTCCAGGTGTAGCCCCTCCCCCTTAAATAATCTCGATCAATCAGAGTACAAGTTTGCACAGAACTGCACCTAATTTAACATTGGTGAAATTCAATATAATCCACTTACACATTTGCACTCATAGTAAACGAAAAGTTAAACAAGAAGACGGCTCTAAATACTAGTTTCATATGTGAAAGTTTTAAAAATTGAACCTTGTTTACGTGAACAAAATTACGCATTTCAGGTTTTCGTCGTCGTATTTTCTTCATCAACTTTCTTTTTTGCAAAATTGGGAAGTTGATTTACAAACGTTTCAATTATCCTCTTCCCTTTCCTCTCCATTTCAAAAAAAAGAAAGAAAGAAACCCTCAACACACGACGCGTATACCCGTTTTCCTTTCCGATTGCCGCCAGGAGCTGTATGGGTTTAGTTCACAGTGCTCAACAAGTAAGAATATTATTATTTTAATTGACCCTGGTTGGTGGTATCTGTAGTGCATGACGTTTGCATGGCTGCCACAGATTAATGTTAAAGAGAACATATGGTTGTAATCGTTGCACTATAAATATGTTTAGCGCTGTTTATTTATTTCTCGATTCTCCCTTTTATCTTCACGGCTCAAACGCTTGATTGCCTAAATATTACCCAGTGAATACACTCTGAATTTGTTTGCTGAAATAATTATATAAAAATAAACGAACATTCTGAACACACGATTGGGTGTGGTTATAAAGTGTGTGGTTTATGAAAAGAGGGTGAACAAAAGGACACTTGAAGATTAGCAAATGAACTCTTAACGAATGAGCCGTAAACGCTTGCACTTGCCCTCTAGGTATTGAATTCCGCGTATACAATCTATTATATCATGTTTGACAAACCTACTCCTAAATATAAAAATATCTTTATAAATACTATAACGAAGGTAACTTAAAATCAATTAATTTTAGACTCAATTAAATGCTTCTTCAAGACATAGCAGACAGTTGAAAGACAAAGGAAAGGGCAAACAAGTGGAAGGGGGGGGGGGGAATTAGGTTAATAATGTCCCGAGAAAACACTCGAAAGATTGGGTTTCAGTCTAATGAGATAAAATTCATCTGAGATTACTTTTAGAAGAGATTGATTCGGCGAGAGTGCGAGTGTGCAACATCTATACTGAACTTCGGCTAAAAACCCTGGCGTTGCACCAGTGCTACCGGTTCTGTTTGTGGCTTAGGATTATTGATCTTTTCGTGTATGTATGTATGCATTTGTACGGCAAATCTCCCTCAGCAGAGATCAACAAATCTGGCTTTTCTGATCCCATTTTTGTTTCGATAAACACGCTCCTTTTTCAGATGCTTTCTTCTAAGAAACAACGCTGAAAGCAATTTCTCTTCCGTGCAACCGAGTAAAAACGTGAGACAGGAGAGTTGACAAGATTTTACAGCTCTGAAAGGATGAAAGTAGTTGAAAAAGCCGACGGCATTTTAAAAGAGCAACGTCTTTGTGCACTCTTTCCTAAAAGGTCTTATTTACTTCTTCTCTTTCTTTCTCTTTCACACTCAGACACACACATACTCACACACACACACACACACACACACACACACACACACACACACACACACACACAATACACATACACATACGCACACACACACACATACACACACACACACACACACACACACACACACACACACAGACGTGACTATGTCAGTCTCTCTCTTTCTGTATCTCTCTCTCTCTCTCTCTGTGCCCCTGTGTGTATCTCTCTCTCCCTCTCTGTCTATCTCTGACTCTCTGTCTCTTTTCTGCCTCTCTCTGTCTGTCTTTCTGTCTCTCTCTCTCTCTCTCTCTCTCTCTCTCTCTCTCTCTCTCTCTCTCTCTTTCTCTCTCTCTCTCTTCTTTACAACTCCTACAGCCCACCAATCATGGCCCTTTAGATTTGCTTACACAGGAATTGTTTTGCCGAAGCGTGCCCTTGTGGTAAAAATGCGGAGGTGGTACCTGTATACACGTCAAAGCAGGCAGTGTGGCGTGTCACCCCGCAACTCGCGGATTTACCATGGTCACCCAGAGAAATGCGAGATTCACGTAACACGAGTAGCCATCGGAAGGCTATTTGGTTGGGAATTTTAGTGGCTTGGTACGGTCTTGTTGCGAGGTTCCCCTCAGCGTTTGGAGACAGTGATCTTGTTGTTCAGCGAGCTGTGACGTCCAGGGTCCGATCTCCTGGGCGATACGAACGTAATTGAACTTGAAGACTATGGAGAACTCGGAAGTAACAAAGTAGTTAGCTGTCCACTGTCCTCGTTTCAGATACAAGCGTGACGGTGACGTCCCGGTAGCAAGAATTCGACTTTCTGACACAAATGGTACTGAGGGAGATAGGTCTGGTAACATGAATGGCTCCGGTGGATCGGAAAGGATTAGGGTTGCACAGTAACATGTTGGTGCTAGTGTTGTTTTAAAAAGTTCAGTGGGAAAAAATAAAGGAGAAAATAAACATTGTTTGGGTATAAGAAAACATAAAGCGGACTCATGGAGAGAAAGACAGCCAGAAAAGAGAGGAAAAGAGAGAGCGTGTCACGGGTCGCCCGTGTGTCAATTATACTCTGACAACATTATCGTTCTCCAAATAGATTGTAAACCGAGGTAAAAGGCATGGCATTTCTATTTTGCATTGATCTGAGAAATGTTCAGTCAAAGACAGATAGGAGAAAATTTTAGTTTTAAATTTTACTTTGCTCTGGGCATAGAGGAACTTTCCAAGAACTAGGCCTTTGGTACAGTTACATGACAAGTGGTTCGGGGAAAATAATTATATATGTATAAAAGAATGAAGAATATTCAGTCAAACATTTAACCTGCAAAACTTGCGCGCAAGTCGAGTTTATCACCAGCAGTACTACGGCTTTGATATGTTCGAACTATAAACACCTTGGTTTCGTCGTCACGTCAGTTCAACAGAATATGCTTTGGAGACAGCAAAGAAAAGAGAAAAGAAGCGAAATGTTCAGGGAACTTGTACTTCATCCAGCCTTTGAATCACCTTTTGTATTTCAAGTCGGGTGTATTCAGGAACAAAGAAGTCAAAAGAGTAAATTCAAAAGCTGTATACGCCTCATTTAACGTTAAGATTACCTGAACGTTCTGTGTTAAGTTGAATAAATCTGTCGTTGGAAGGAGACATGGTGTCATCTTGTAAGAGATTTGGTTGTCGTTGTGGTGGAGAAAGAAAACATCAGGTATAAAAGTCTGTAATAGCAAGGAGCAGCAAGACTTCGATTGCCATATTCAGATTTGCTTGCACTGAGTTCTGCTCCTTGACTTCAACAAAACAGGTTTCGTTGCCCTATAATTCATGTTATATCCTCTGCAAGCTGTTCGCATTATGTACTAAGCCCCGACCTTTTTACAGGAGAGGGAAACACACTGTTTCATTCTCTCCCAACTCCTAAGATTGTACCTGCATAATATATTATAGATATAGACATATATATTATATAATGTTATATATATATATATATATATATATATATATATATATATATATATATATATATATATATATATATATATATATATATATATATATATATATATATATACATATATACATATATGTATGTGCGTGGGCTTGCGTGTCTGTGTGTGTGGGGGTGGGGCAGTGTGGGTGTGTGGGTGTGTGGGTGTGTGTATGTATGTGACAGGGAAGGTGCACGTGCATGTATATATTTATAATTGACACTAGCATTGCAGGTGCCTGTGGTGTGTGGATAGTTACTTCACCATCGCACACGGAAAACATGAGTTCGATTCTCATGTTGGGGGAATTTTTATGGACTATTTGCTTTTACCATCTGAAATGTTGTGTCACTCTCAGACTGTCTCCTGAATGATCTAAGAAGCGTTGGTGCTGGTGCAGCATTTCAGCAACTTCACTTTCTACACTTACATTTGTGCGTGCCATGCCAACAATAATCTTTTTCGAAGTACCCCCTCGGAAAATGTTCCTGCAACTTGAAATAGTGCATGGCAAATCTCAAACATAGCATATTTGTAAAACTTAGCATGCATTTTAGACCCTGTATTCCTCGATATTCTCATTGTAGTTTGAATGAACCTGAACCCCCTGGTTGTTGCATTCAAAGTTGTTATTTTAAAATAATGTATTTTCACTTAGCTAAAAAACCCAACAACAAACAAAGACGAAAAGCAGATGTACATCAAATTGAAGAAAGTGTAAGGACTCTTCGGAAGAAAACCAGTGAACTTTACATTGACCCCCTGATTCATCTAACACAAGTCACTCTGTCACGAGTAATTAGACATTCAAACTGTTCATGGCAGTGCCAATTAAAATCAATATCACAGTTTAAAAGACTTTAGTTCGATCCATGTAAACATTATGGAGCTTACTTATAGAACTATGTAACTGTGCAACTATTCATTCAACAAGATATTAACAAACAATTGCAATGGCTTTAAAGTAAAAAAACAACCCACAAACGAATAACATTTTAAGTGCTTGCGGATAAAAAAATAAGTAAAGCCCATCAGTATTCTCTTCAATGGCTTGCAAAATGCAATATATCATATTACTATTATAAATTGAATTAAGTATGAAAGTAATAATATTGTGTTTTAAGGCTTTTTCTGACGACTGACATTCATGAAATTAGACGCACGCATACATGTGAAATATCTCTCCACATACGCAAACTAGACACGGCTTATCAAAACTATCGTCGAAAAGTAACTATTGAGTTGTAATAGTATACTAACAAAACATAGTACTCGATAACCCAACGAATATGTGCATAAAAAAGCCCTTCTCTGCTTGTTCATTAATGACTTGTGACTATGAGTTTTACTATTTTTAACAAGTAAACATCTGCTCTACTGCTTCTTTAATCTTTTTTTTCTATATTTTTCATGTGTAGGAACTGCTGAAAGAAAACCCAGATTCGGCCGGTTTCTACATAGACGTTGACTGGAGCTTAACGAACCCCATCGAGGGTGAGACATCTCGTCTACGATGGATAGCAGACAAACCTTACTGGGAAGCTACCATGTTCATGTTTCTTCCTGATCGAGTGCACACTCCAAATCTCAGTTCTATGCAACCTCAGCTAAACTATTCCACGTGAGTACCAAACTCTGTACGGTTTTTTCCTCTGACCATTCTCAACTTTTAATCAGATGTAGCATCTTCAATGATGTCGAAAAGAAGTGTTAAAAATCTTTTTAAAAACCCCGGAAAAACAGTAATACAGAGAGAGAGAGAGAGAGAGAGAGAGAGAGAGAGAGAGAGAGAGAGAGAGAGAGAGAGAGAGAGAGAGACAGAGACCTTTGCCCGTGTATACATACTTCCTTAGTAAAAAGTAATTGTTGACGGAATAGAAGAAGAAGAAGAAGAAGAAGAAGAAGAAGAAGAAGAAGAAGAAGAAGAAGAAGAAGAAGAAGAAAAAGAAGAAGAAGAAGAAGAAGAAGAAGAAGAAGAAGAAGAAGAAGAAGAAGAAGAAGAAGAAGAAGAAGAAGAAGAAGAAGAAGAAGAAGAAGAAGAAGAAGAAGAAGAAGAAGAAGAAGAAGTAGAAGAAGAAGAAGAAGAAGAAGAAGAAGAAGAAGAAGAAGAAGAAGAAGAAGAAGAAGAAGAAGAAGAAGAAGAAGAAGAAGAAGAACTATTTCAGACTATATTCCCTTGCCTTGGCTCTATCTCTAACGCCTTGCTTTTCAGTTTCATCTCGGTATACAAGGCTAGCCAACGTGGTCGGGGTCATTTCTACATTGTTGGAATAATAATATTCTTCCAAAGTTCGACCAAGCCGCCTCTACGGCGGACAATAAATATGCCACCCGTGGACAGATCAATAAAGGAAGGGATATCGATCTCTTTTCGTGTGCTTTGTACATATATATATAATACCTGATCTCAGAGCCAGAAAGGTGTACGTGTTTAAGATTGATAAGAAGAAATAATCATTTCGACCTTATAATAAAATATGCGTCATAAGCGCCTAGGCTCAATATCCTTTACCACGCATCTACCTAAATTCAGTTTTGGATTCATAAAGTTATTGTTGTAGGATTTTAGTTTATAGACCAACCTGTACTGTTATTACATGTCTAAATTGGCACGAATTGTTGCGTGTCGGCTGTAAGCTAATTTTATCTGTGATTAAAGTGCGTCTTTATGTTCGCAGGCTATCAAGGGAACAATAGTTATCATATTCTCAGTTTTGTTATCTTACTGTCTACTGTTTCAGGAGGAGACTTGTTTTAATCTAATTAACCGTAGTTTTTTGTTTTGCGATGCCCTGTTTACGGAATTTGTTTTATGAAATGTATTTGTAATTGTCGTTTTTAAGGTGATATAGACTAACAAGATACTTGTGTTCAGAGTATGACTCTATGCCACTTCTTGTTTTGTCCCCCACGTTGGACGAAGTGGCACATTCACAGATTTCCCTTAAGGTGTGTGTATGTGAGTGTGTGTGTGAGCATGTGTGTGTATGTATGTGTGTGTGTGTGTGTGTGTGTGTGTGTGTGTGTGTGTGTGTGTGTGTAAGTGTGCCTGCGTGTGTGTGTTGTGTTTGTGTATTGTTTTGTGACTGTGTAATTCAGTTAGGAGATGTGTGCATTAGGTGAAGTAAATACTTCTGTGTTAATCAAATATTCTTTCAGAGTTTTTAACACTTCTCTGTCTACATCTTGAGGATGAGTGCTCGTAAAGAAACAGATAAAACGAACTCCTTTCGTTTTACTTTACAGTCTTTCCCAACATCGTTGTATCCATTTTCTTACTTCAGATAAAAAAGAAAATCATCTGATACACAATTTGGTTATTTTAAAGGCTGGCTGCTGCTCACTCTGGAGTTTCAAGTGGTTTTCCACGACTAGGCAGGATCTTTGGTTGACAGGTGGGCAGGAAAAAAGTAAAGCAGGGTACAAAATATTTTTTTAAAGAAGCCACCCCGGCGCCAGAAAACCTGCTAAGTGTATGTGTGTACCTGATAACCGTCGACTGGAGTTTTTTTTTGCGCGCTCCGTTGATGGGACGGATGACTATTTATACACATCCCCGCCTACGCCTAACTCCAACCCCTTTCTCTCCCCCCCCCCCCCCCCCCCCCCCCCCGGCGAGGGAGGGAAGGACGGGACTCGAATCTTGTGTAGTACCACTCTTACACAAATGAATAAACAACACAAAGAAAAGTGAAGAACGGCGTAAGAAGAACAGGAATGTAAATTGATCTGGCACCGGCGGGAGGCAAGACTAGGTCTTTGGGTGAAATTGAGCAATATATTTTTACGGCGCCACGGTAAAGCAAACACCTGTTTTGTCCGTCGGGAGAAGTGACACCATGTGGCTAAGCTTCAGTAACGCGATACCCCAATCCTAGATAGAAGGAAGAACGTTGTTTATGGTTTGGGCTTATGGCCACTCGTAGTTGTCCGAGACCAAGAAGCGCTCTCAAACACTCATGAAACTGTGTACCAAGGGAGAGAAAAAAGGAACCTCATGTAAATTTATGATTATTCAAACCAATAGAATTCCCTTTTAGAAAGTTCTATGTTTTCAAATGCTATCGGAAGCACGAGCGCGCCTGTGTACGTGTATGCCGCGCACAGTGTCTATAAAAGGCCCTAAGGAAGAAAGTAACAATCTTTTTTGGAGGGGAGAAAGATGAATGGATTAAAAAGGGAAACCTTGCAGAGAGAGCTCACAGTTCAGGGAGCAGTTCAAACGTCGTAGTAGAATAGATAGAAAAGTGCAAAAAGTAATTGTTCGAGGGAGGGGGGGGGGGGGGGTGGAGAGAGAAGGGAAGGGAGGGGGGGGGGGCAGCTGACAAACATTTTATTCGAGCAAACGATTCTGTTATTGTCCATTCATCTACAATGTGCTTTATCATGAGCTGCCCTTGCTTTTACAACATTGCGAAACAACATTATAACACTGACAAAGCTTTTTACGTCAGATTTAAAAAACGACAACGTGTAGACAGCAGAAAAGAAAAAGATCTTTGTATGAGGGCAGTGAAGCATAATTGTAATTTGGAAACTTATTCTTATCCTTTAAAAAAATGAACCAAGACGCCCCATCCTTCTTTAACATCGAAAACCTTAGTCTCGCTCCACCCCCTCCCCCCCCCCCCCCCGTCCTATCACTTTTTTTAAACAGTGAAGAGGATGATATTTATATTTGTGTGTGCACGCGCCCCGTATACATGACATAGTTATTACTTTTCTTGTTGTCATGTTCCCCTGTATTTTAAAGGATAAACTCAATAGGTGTTCGCTCGTGACTTGTGCATTCTTCCCCTCGTTTACATGAGTGTGTCAAATTTGTGCAGTCAAGCAAGCTCCAAAGCCCCTTGTCCCCGACATGTGATAAACTTTCAGCCGGAAAATTACACCCGCATACGTAGCTATGCGCCCAAAAGCAAAATCATAAGTCTAATGTTTTGCTGACGCCTAGCAAATTACAGGTCGGTTCCAATGACGTCTATTGGAGTCGGTCATGGAGATTTGCTAGTCCACAAAGGGGGATGGTCTCGTATTGGGGGGGGGGGGGGGAGCGGGGATGGGGTTCCGGTACACTGGTACCCACTTCGTATCATGCCTCTAGATCTCTAGATCCTAACAAACAGACCTTTGAATGTGAAAGAAAGCGTGGCCCGTGAAAAAATCCTGTTTTTGATACAGAGTGGCATTTTCCCAATTCTTCCTGTTATTTTTAAGACTTTGGCTGACTAGAAGTGACCACATGGCTTCTGTTTATGTTGAGTCCGGCCCTATTCATTGATTCGTTTTTGTTGATACAGTAGAGAGTGCTTTTAATCCACTTGTTCTGTCTGGCTATATCTTTTCTTTCTTCCGTTCCTGTGCCTCCTATAAATCTGTAGCAGGCTGTAAATTTCTTACCCTGCGTATGTTTTGTATTTGTTGAAGTTCTACGTGACATTGCTCAGGGAATTAACCACTTTCTTTCTAAAAGTAAACGACTTTTAGAAAGCACCTTTCGATTTCCGTCACACAATTTGGCCAATGAATATTGTGTATGTGTGTGTGGTAACTGTTTTACTGCGCTTGCAACTGCATAGGTCATATGAGCGTGCGGGACACAATGAACATTTTCAGTTGTTAGGAAAGATAAATATATAGATAGATAGATAGAAAGATAGATAGATAGATAGATAAATAGATAGATAGATAGATAGATAGATAGATAGATAGATAGATAGATAGATAGATAGATAGATAGATAGATAGATAGATAGATAGATAGATAGATGTTATTATACCTAAGTCAACCTCCCCCCCCCCCCTAACAGGGGAACGCAAAGATTATACATAAGTAAGTTACATTTATCAGAGAGATACACAACAGACTGCAGGACTCAAGTGGCTTTGTGGCATGCCTGTACCGAAGAAGCAACCAAGTCTTCGGAATGAGAATAACAAAAATTATTTCCCCGATGATTTGTTACTCCACGATATTGCCACCGGCTATTTGACTAGCCCAGACTGAGGGCATATTATTAAAAGAGTTTCCTCTTAAAAGGATTTTTATTGTGGAGAAGAGTCAACCCCCCAAATGTATAAACCAGTATGTTTTGTATGTGAATATTCAATGATAGCTGGGCAATTCTCAGGGTTTGAAACATAAGTGTTATAAGTGTACTTACATGATTTTATATATATATGTAAACATATAGACACTACAGGGTGATCAAAAAAAAAACTTTACAACTTTTTTTCGGAATATCTCGCTCAAAATTAGTACTAGAATGTTGTAATTTGGAACAGATATAATTCATTCAAGGGAATTTTTTTGACATAAAATTAACAAATAAGAAACTTGTTGTGAATAACGGAAATGTGTTTTATGAAAACCACCTATATATGAAAATGCACCAATTTAAAAGATCTAGTAAGAAAAGTCATAAAACGATTTTTTGTCATTTCCTTTCCTTTTATTTATAAAATCTAATCTTTCCATCCCTGTAACTTTTAAACAATATTTCTTTTCTCCTACAGAGTTAAAAACATATTCTTTAAGTTCTGGAATTTCGAGAACCAATGGTCTGTATGTCCTCCTTTGGACGTGACACATTTTAACGTGTCGTTCATAATGTTCAGTGGGGGCCAAACAAAAGGATCCACTCAACCATGAGTACTTAAGCCACACACACTGTACACCTTACAGTATGGAGCTGTTTCTAGAGACAATAGGGGAGGGGGTGAGGTTGCCCAAATATACAGCATTTGCGGAGTTGATATAAATTGAAAGGTGAATATGGGTTTCACAAAGGAACCAAATGTCGTGGAAGAAATGTTCACGCTTTTCAAGACGATCGAGGAATCATGAACACTTTGCTTTCCTCTGATAGCTCCGCGAACGGGAAAATGAGACAGTCGTAGATGAAGATCTGCCTCTAGAATGCGGACCGTTGAGATGTAGGAAAATCGTTGGTGTAGACATCGTCTACGGACAGACGTCTCAAGGGGCTCATCTTCTGAATTCTGTACCCTGGTGACGTTTAAAAGGCTGCGAACGGTGTGTGTTTGACCTGAAATGGCCGTTGTTTTTGGGAATTTTTAGTTCAGATTCTCTACAGGTCCTAACTGATGGACCATTTTCACCCTTGACATCAAAGAAGGCCTTAAAGGCACTCTAGCATTATTTCCGCACCTTGTGTGAAACTTACAAAAATGAGTTGGTGTTGAGGAAATGTTCAATACAAAAAGCTCTCTGCCCTTCACTAATCTTAACTATGATCTCAGCAGGCAAAGGAAATTTGAGAAAGACTATCTGTAAACCTCTGTTGGCCGGTTAGACTACTGTAGCTTGCAACATGGCGCAATTGTTAGGATTTTTAATGGTTGGCCTAATGCGAACTAGTGCGTCATGTTACAAAAATAGGGACATAGCTGAAAATGGGTTGGGTTTTTTTATGCGCTATGTAGAGCAAAATTATTCTGTGGATTTATCTAATATGAATATCAAACAAATTCCTTTTGACTTCCAAATGTTGTGTCCAAATTTGAACCGCAAAACTTCAGTGTGGAGGAAAATATTAACAAAAAAAGTCGTAATTTTTTGGGGGGATCACCATGTATTTATATATTGTATTATATTTAAATAGAAGAATAGTTTTGGTCATATCTGCACTAATTTCAACAAAATATTGAAGAAATAAAATACAATGTAAAGAACAACGGGTTAACAAATATGTAGAAAATCAATCAGTGGGTTAAAAAAAGAATCAAACTTTAAAAATGTCAACCAAGATTGGGTAAAACAAAAAACGTTACTTCTTACATGAAAAATATCCAGCTACTGGGGCGTGGTCGGTCCGTTCTAGTTTCAGGACGAGAACAGTAAAACCACGACAGCCACATCAGATAGATATCTCACAATGCTGTAAAAGTTTAAGAGAAGATTGTGGAGGATAGGCCTTATGCTATTAAGAGGCCTGGTTCCAATGAGATGGGGCCTCACCCCACACGTGATAAATTGCTGTCGTATGGTTGTAAGAAAGGAATGGGAAATGCTTTTTAAGCCGACGCCTTACAGGTGAATGGTCACCGCATTCCGCTGACTTGAACCCCTTCAATTAATTTCTTTGGGGTTTTATGACAGACAGGATCTATTGAAACAACCCACAAGCAATTGAACAGTTGAAAGTCGATGTTGAACAGGAGATCCGAAGAATTGATCAAAAAGCATTCCACAGGGTTATTCAAAATTTCCACCGGCATGTTGAGCTTATTAAATTTGGAGAAAGATGATCAATACCTGAAGCCAAGATTTTTAACAGTTACCACCTTCCCTCAGTTCATTTGGCAACATCAATATTTTATAAATTTGTTCTTCAATTCACTAATACTGACTATTTGAAATAGAACAACGCGATTGACCTTGAAGATGGTGCAGAAAGTTTTTCGTTTTACTCAATTTTGGTTGGAATGTTTAAAATTGGATATATTTCAAACCTCATGGTTGATTCTAACCTTAGTGGCAAATACTACGCCCCCCCCCCCCTCCCAGTTGAATTTTGTTTGTTGAAATTTGTTCTGAGATGACCGAATTTTTGCCCTTTAAATAGTTCCTCTTTTTTATACACCCGATATAAGCTCTGAGCATTTTACATCGATGACATGATTGTTGAGAATAAAACTATCACGCTAGAGAAAAAAACATTTGAAATGCACTAGACAATCAGTTAAATCACATGAATAAGTACTTTCTCATTCATACATTCATTACATATACATATGGGCCTGAGCAACCTACAAATGGGTTACGGGGAAAGATCAGGGAAACGTTGCTTTTTTAAAGAGCATCTGAGCAAAGGAATGAATGGAGAACTATGCTTGCAGATGTCTGTCGCAGATCTGGCACTGGATGATGATGACATATGGGCAGTTGTGCGATTATGACACACCAGAAAACGCTCATACACCCCAACTAAACAAATGAGTATTGAACAATCTATATAACCTATTCAGATTTGTTGTTTTTCTGAGTTTCTGGTAGAGCTGGAAGTAGTTCAAAGTTTTTAGGAGCAAACAGGTAAATTGAAATAAAAAATCTTATATGGGTTTCCCTTTCGTTACCCATATCGGCATGTCTACGTTTTGCGACCATTTCAGGCTTAGTTGAAAGTATTTGGAAACCCTTACTGTATGTGAGACAGGACCCAACTTTGAAACGCATTAGATCCAGATGAATAATACGTTTTGCAGAAGAAACCGTTAACATAATATGTTAACACAAAGCACCTGAATAATATAATCATGTGTCACGGCGCAGTGGAATCAGGCGCTCGTCAAGGTTTTGATAAGTAACGTTATTGGTATCGTCTTAAAAGGTCGTTCATAATTTGTCTTGCTTTCGAGAAAAAGTTACAGATTTAGCTTTAATAGAAGTCGAGATATTTCAGAAGAAAGGAAGTGGGGGTCACCTGGTTTCAAGGGTAAAATTAGAGAGAAAATGGCTTCCAAAGTTTGGTGATTTCCAAAACTTGAAAGTCCTTGTTAACTCAAAACTTACATTTTTGGGGGGTTTAACCTTTGTTTTTCAGTAAAATACATAAAGAAATGTATTTTTGAATAGACACAAAAGGAATCGAAACAAAAATTAACAATTCGAAGAAAATTGCCAAACGGAAAGAAACATGCCATTTTCTTAGATTTCATTATTTTGACGAGCGCCTGATTTCTCCACAATGCCTCACAACACATATGCATGTGAACTTGCTTCACTGTGATACTCAATTATTCAATATAAAAATGTCATTTGGACTAGCACACTTCATTCTATTCTTAAGGTCTTTAAACAAGAGTGACACGTTTTCACATTTCTCTTCCTCAGGTACAAGTTGTTGCCAGAGAAGGCAAAACTGCGCCACTGTCCAAGTGCCGACTGGGACACCTGTTTCCCAGAACCTAAAATCAAGAACCGATACAGGACTCTCAACCATCAAATTCGAACAGTTCTTTCGACGCTGGGCATCAACAGATGAACATAAAGACATGGCGTTTATTTAGTGTTTCAACAGCTGTTTCTAATACAATAATATGTGAAACGTGAGCTGAGGGATCGTTTGAGAAACTGCATGCAGCTTTTTCTCCATGTCTGTGATGAACATACGGGTAAATCAGCTATACTCTTTAAACGTCTGTGACCTGCGATGTATAGAATTTATTGAGAAAGGTGTATTCGGTGAGGCGTTCAAAAACTTCCTGAAAGGAATACACGGGAATCTTATCTGAAGCGCCCACAGACAAATAACAATGTGAATCAAATTTCATTGCACGTTTTATAAATCGGCGATTTATTAAATACAAAGAGCCTGAAGTCTCTACGAATGGCATACTATTGAGCGTAACATACACCAAAAAGAATGATTGACGTTGGAGACTTTGGGAAAGCTATTGTATTGTAAATTTAGCATTGCTTTCAGTCAATTCAGACATTAAATTTCTAACGGAATTTAAAATGGATTTGAATTGAGTGGTATGAATGAGAAAAATGCATATGAATGAACGGAAAAAAATGTCATATTTAAAAAAAAAAAGAACATGCTCACGTTTTCATGTTTTTGTTGTTTTTCTTCTTTCTGTTTTGCTTTGGGTGCGGGTAGGTTAACAGATAGTTACTTGCATAAACAGCACATAAACCTCTTCACAGTTTGACCTTATTCTTCAGTAATGGAGACGCCTGGGAGAAGAAAAAATGCTTGGTTTCGTATTATCAGTCTCAGTTATGCGAACATAATCCATTGTACCTCCATGTTTAATTTCAAAAGTTAAGTAACACCACTTGCGACCTTTCAAATAAACAACCCAGTTATCACCAACACTCTCGATATCACAACAAATTAATAAGCGACAGTGAGCTAATCTCATATGGACGACCTTTGTGTTTATAAAACTGTCTTTTGCATGCTCAACCACTCTTCAGTATTTCCTTTAACGACTTGAACTGGGTGGGTTTAACCCAAAAAATCTACTTACCTGCTTGTAGCGACTTAAAAAAATACTTCAACATGCAGCAAAAAGATCAACAAGCGAAAAACAAGTCAGATCATTATTCAGACTATCGCTGAGAGTACTTACATAAACTTATGTCTCAAAAAGTAATCAATTGCAATTTATCTCCCATGATTTTGGGCATGGCGTTTACAAAAAGACTACATCAATAGATCTAAAGAAATTCATTCTAAATTAAACTTAAGTTTATGCAGCTTTTAGACGTTTTAGCGCCTGTCGAAGGCACAGCAGTGGCAATACCACAACCAATGATACTCCAACCGAGGCGTTGGCACTGCAAACTGCTGGCAATTAGATAGCGGGGATCAACAGATTGTTGAACAGAGGAGAGGAGATGGTGAAATCTGGTAAAGAGTATGAGGGAGTGGGGATGAGGAAATGAGGGAGCGCGGATGGGGGAAAGGGGATTGTAATATGTTTTGTGTATGTGTATGTGTGTGTGTGTGTGTGTGTGTGTGTGGACGCGGGGAGGGGAGGGGGTGGATGTAAGGGAAGAACAGAAGAGGTAAAGATCTTGTTATTTAGAAATTATAACTTCAGGATAACTATTAATTTGTTGGGTTTTTTTATCCGAAAGTTTAACATGGGAACGGCAAGACCTGTTTCTAACAAGTTAAGTGGTGAAAGTCATGAAATAGTGCTATGACTATGAGACAGATCATTGAGCTCATGAATTTATAAGTGTTCTAGTAGGTAATAAACAAAATCAAGGTACATCACATCCTTAAAAACCATCATGTGTTGAGATCTTTATTATATATCTTTTAAAGCCACAATAAAAAGTCAAACATCAGGCTTCATTCTAAATATCAAAACATTGCAATGCTTTTTGTCTCTGTGGCGTAATTTTCACGTGTGTTTGTGTGTGTGTGTGTGTGTGTGTGTGTGTGTGTGTGTGTGTGTGTGTGTGTGGGTGTTTTTGGGGGGTGGGGTTGTTTTTGTTTATTGTATTTGTCTTGCATAAAGCTGTGTCCAAAATACGATTCCCAAATCTTTAATTCACGAAACAACCCTGCGCCATGTACAGTCTTTTTCAAATAGAACACATACACACACTCTTAACGGTTGAGTGAAGCCCAAATTATCTTCCCTCACATTTTGATATCCTGTTCTGAAAAAAAAAATCCTTTTGCTGAATTTAAAACTTGTCTTTTTCTTTTTCTTTCAATTATGTTCTTGAACCCCATCCGCACCAGCATCGGCCTATGAAAACTCGCAGAACTACTGGTATTGCCAATCCGCTTGCCAAACAACCATTGTACGAATCTTTCGGGTCTGCCGCTTCTCTCCTTGCGACACATTATTTCCAGGAACAAATAGGCCAGTATAATAGCGGGTATATTCATCGAGTGTCGACATACCTCTCTTGATAACATCTCTCTCTCTCTCTCTCTCTCTCTATCTCTCTCTCTCTCTCTCTTCGTTTCTCTCTCTCTCCCTCTCTCTCTCTATTTGTGTCTCTCTTTCTGTCTGTCTGTCTCTCTCTTTCTTTATATCTCTCTTTTTCTCTTTTTTTCCCTCTCTGTTTGTCTTCTATCGTCTCTTCCCCACACCTTTCTCCCCCCCTCTTTCTTTATATCTCTCCTTTTTCTCTCCCCCTTCTCTATCCTCTTCTCCAGCTTCGGTTTCTCTCCCCCCCCCAAACTTTCCCCCTCCCTCTCCCTCTATTGTGACCATCTCCCCGTAGTCGCACAACGGCCGAAGACGTCACCAAGAACAGAAAGTCATGGGGGTGCTACTTCTCAAACCCCAGCTTGTGTAAAGCAGATAATGTTCTCTGACAGCCATAGTGACGTGGACTCCCCTCATCTCATGGCGTAACTTGGTAAGATCTACGCTCCTTTTCTCTTTCCCCTCCTAGCGACGCCGCCGTGGCCCCACACAATAGGTAATCCTACTCGACAAGACACCATCACCCGGGCAGTCGCAAGTCCATTACACAACAATTTCCACAACTCCTAAACCCAAACTCCACTGGAGCTTAATCCTATAAGATTATACCCGGCTACTCGGTCACACCGGTCCGGTTTCTGATAGTTC